TTATAAATTCACAGCAGAAGAAGTTATTGCAAATATTATAAGTGCTAGAATTTCATGAATGCGGAAGTGTCTAAATATTTTAATTCTCAATATAAAATGCTTTATGCATATTGAAAATGGCGCCAAAGAAACCTAATGTTGTTAAAATTTTTCGATGACCATGAGTAAGATAAGTTATTTTGTTTTTTTTTTTTTTCTTAAATTTTTGCAAAATATAAATTTCAAGTGAAATAAAGTCTAAAATAATTAGTTTTAGAATAAGAATTTCATTTTGGTATTAAAAAGATAGAGTTAATAAATATATTATAAAATGTATAAGTATTTGTATGTATTTATGTTGCTATTTTTTATTTTTATTAGTATATGTATATTATTGATTAATATAAAATTTTGAAAGTTTATTTTTTTTTTGCTACATATATATGTAAGTAAGTGTAGATTTAGTTAAGATTTATATTACAAAATTAAAAGAATTTAAAAAGAATAATATTTATAATATTTATAAATATGTATGTATATAATTAATTTATACCAATTTTTCTTTATCATAATTTCGGGACAACTGAGATTAGGTTTTTACAGATTTCTATTTTCTTTTATTTTGTTTATTTTTTTTTTTGATTTTGCACGTAATTTGGATTTTTTAATTTGGTTTTTTTTATTATTATTATTTTAGTTTTGTTAGTGTTATATTTAAAAAATTTTGAATTTCTAAAATAAAATTTTTCTGTCATTAAAATGTCCGCTAAATTTTAATATTTGTAATTTGCTTTTATTTTACAATATTTTTTTTATATCCAAAACCTAAAATATTTTTTATTTAAATTTTTGTGTCACAAGTATATTATAAAAATCATAATATAAATTATTTTTTTTATTAATTATAATGAATTTTTTAATAGTTCTGCTCAAAAAAGAAAAAATTTTGAAAATTTCCTCAACAAATTTTGTTTTGAAAGGTAATAAATAAAGATAAAATAATAAAAATAAAAAATAATAAAAATTTAGAGAAAATAAAAATATAAAAAATGAAAATCGCATATTATACGCATTTATACAGTTAAAGTATATCTGGCAATACTAATAAATATTATAAATGTCAATATCAGAAAAGTCAAAGAATTTGACGCCCATTATATTGTACAGCAACATGGTCATATTCAGTTGCTAATTGAATTTAACTGAAAAATAATTTTTATTCTGTGGATGTACAATTACTTATGTACAAATTATATATTAAAATAACCCTCAGTTTTAATTTGATTTTTAATTTAAATACTTAATCTACGTATGTATTACTAATTCTTATTTATTTTTTTAGGTATAATCACTTGAAGGAAAGTATCTAATTTTCCAAATGAAAACTCTATGTTGTTCTTATACGAAATTTTTTCTCAATAAAATTTCCTAATTGAATTTGGATTTGAATTGCTATATTTGAAGTTGGACTTTATGGCATTATGTAAAATGAAAATTGAAATTTCACCTTGATTGAAATTTCATTTAACTTTAAATTTATTTCATAATTATAATTGAAAATCATATTGCTAATATTTATAATATGAATTTTAGGAATGCTGACAAGATGGAACAAGAAGAATTTTCCACAGACATTTGTACATATTTCAAATAAATTACAGTATTCCAAAATTTCGGGAACCTTCAGATTTTACAATATATTATATATTTCGAACTTTGTTTTTATATTATTATTATATTTAAAACATATTAAACAATACATTTTATTTGTTTTGGCAACAAAATAATATCGATATTATTATAAGTGACAATGTCTACAATATTTTTGTATCTTATTAGATTTTTAAGCTTTCTGCTTTTAATATTCAAGTACATTGACTTACTTATATTAGTTAAAATATACTTTAACTGTAATAAATGTATATTACTAAAATATATATTAAAAATATAAAAAAAAATTTATAAAAGAAATATAAAAATAATAATAAGCTTAAATATTTGTATTAAAAGAAAATAAAAATTTAAAAAATTATATTATTAATATAATAATAATTATGATAAAAAATATTTTGTTCAAAAAGGTATACATATATATGAATTAAAAGTTACCATTTTGTCAAAGTATATATATAGGAAATATTTATGTATAATAACAAGGTTGTATATTATAATGCTAAATGAGGAAGATATCATTTAAAATAAAATAAAAAAAAAATTGTACGAAAAAAAAACGTAAGATTATTTATAAAAGAAATTTTAAAATTAAATGGAAAAAGAAAAAAAAAAGTGAAAAAATAAAATTAAAACATATAATAAATTATATTTTATTATTATATAATATAGTTAAACATAGTAACTATATTATGTTTTTTTTTTTTGTTTTTGAAAGTATTTAAAATTAGAAATTATATTATTACTAAAAGTATTTACTTTTCTACATGCAGCATGCATAAAATTTTAATTTAAGTTACAAGAAAAATAAAAAGAAGGTTTTCTAAATTTTTTTTTTGCTGTTTGTGACAAATTTTGCATTTTACTAATTTGCTTTTTTTTGTTACAGGAGGAGAGGTGTTGATTTGTAGTCTCGTTTTTAATATACATATATTTATATTTATATATATATTAATAAAATAATATTAATATTTATATATATATATATATATTATAATATATAATGTAAAAGTTTGTAATAATACAAACATGTTTTAAATATATAATATAAATATAAATTTTGCATATTTATACTCATATATTTTTAAAATATATATATGTATAATTTTTTTTTTGTTGTTTTCTTCTTTTTATATATAATTTTAAGTAAAAATTAGTTAAAATTAAAATAAAATAAGGTAAATGAAATAATATATACTTACATTTCGTTATTAAATCTTATTTAATATGAAAATTATAAAAAAAAAATTATATTCTAATGTTATTTTAAATTGAAATTAATTTTAATTTTAGGTAAATTCTATTTTTTTTTTTAATTATCAGCGATTTTGAATTGATATTTATGAAGATTTTAAGAGTAAAATATTTGTATTTAATTTTTAAAATTTAATTTTTAAATTCTTTTGTATAAATATAAAAAAATTAATTTCAAATTAAATAAAAATTAGAATAAAATTGTAATAATAACAGTTTGTCTATAAAAAAGTAGCATAAAATGTGTAATAAATTTTTGTAATTTTAATTAAATTTTTCAATATCATTTATAAATTTGCAATTTCGCATTTTATTTTTTGCATTTTGTTTTTATAAATTGTCCATATTATAATAATAAAAATATGTGATAATATACATGCAAAACTCACAAGTCAAAACCACCCCATAGTAATTTTCATTTTTAAAAATTAAATAAAAAAATTTCTATAATTATTTATAAAACAAAAAAAAATAATAATTTATATTTTATAATAATATTTACATAACATTTTAAATAAAATAAAATAAAAAAATATATTTTTTTTTTGCAATTAAAATGCAAAATGTGTGATTAATTTTTAATTTTTTAATTAACTGTAAAAAACAATAAGTTCGACTTGAAATAATACGGAACAGAAAGAGAAAGTTTTAATTTTAATAAAACTTAATTTTTTATATTAAATGAAATATTTTTATTTATATTTTTTTATATTAGTAACAGATTCACGTTTAGCAAGAGAACATATGATTTTGCTATGTTAATCATTACAAACACAGAAAAAAATACAAAAAATTATTTTTTTGAAAATTTATTTAAATAATTTTTAATTGGGAATTTATTGATTAATATTTTTATTATGGACCAGAACATATATAATTTTCAATGGCAATTTTTGTAATTCGTTCGAACATATTACATAATTTGCATATTAGATTCTAGTACACATTTGTTATGATCAACAGATAATATTTATTTAAAACATAATTATAATTTAAATTATATAATATTAATAATATTATATTTTAAAACAAAATAATTATGACAAATAAGGATTGTTTATTACAATAAACAACATTGTAATAAATAAAATTATTAAAATTTTTATTTAAGCAATTATTGGAGAAATAATATTTAGATGTTCTTCATCAATTCAATTAAATATTTTGTCAGCCATATTGCAATGAAAATAGAAACAAAATATGTTTTAGATAAACTAGGATAGCAAGAGATAATTCCTCACAGAAGAGTTTTTAAGAGCTCTAATATATAATTTAAATCTGTTTTAAATCTGTGAGAAAAAAAAATTTTTAAATTCTTAATTTTTGAAGTTTTTATAATTTTAATTAAATACCAAAAATTTTTATCACACATTTCTTGCAAAATATAATTTTATATGTAAATTAAAAAAGAAAATGTAAGTTTATTTCCTAAGTTATAGCATCCCATTAAATTATACAAAATAGGTAAAATTAGCAGAAAGAAAATGTAAAAAGATAAAATTTACATTGATACAATTTCAAAAAAAAAAAAATATATATATAAAAAAAAAGTTTATTTAAAAATGCATTCAACTCAAACTTTTTATTTCTAAATACTTATAGTATTTTTTAAAAACTAAATTTTTTCTTTGCTTGTTGTAATTTTGCATTTCTCTAAGTTTTATTTTAGGGGATTTTTGATTTTGTTTTTTTTTTTTTATTAATTAATTAGTTATAAGAGATTTTAAGTTAAATATGTATATATAAATGTAATTTAAATTAATAAACTGGGGAATATTAATAAAACTATTTGGTATATGGTATAAAATATCTATTAAATGATTTTGTGAATTTTATTTTATATAAGTATATAAAAAAATTAATGTAGTAAAATTTTATATAATGATTTTAAATTGTATACATTTAATAAATAATATTCTATGTATACATTTATGTATATTATGCATATTTGTTTTATATAATATATAAATAAATAATGCATATTATACAAAAAAAAAAAAATCTAATAAAATACTTTGGATGGGAAAGATAGATGTAACATAATTTAGAAATTAATTTATATTTTGTATTATTATTGTTTTAGGAAAAGTACTCACCATCAATATTGTCTGATGTATCTAATTGCATTTGTTTGATATCATTATTATCATCTCGTGATTCAACTGAAGAAAGACCATGTGATGCTAAAAGTGACATGTCTTCAGGATGTAATGACTTCAAACCAGACTATAAATAATATATTATATATATTCAAATATTATTTAAAATTTAAATAACAAAATATCTATTTAAATATTTTGAATTAAACTTACAAAGCAAAAACTTACAAAAAAAAAATACAATCAACAAAAAATTTAATTTGAAAATCGGTTCGATGATTCAATTATTTGAAATTTTCAACTTTTTTAACTTTTTTTGAAAAAAGTTAAAAAAAATTGAAAATTTAAAGTTAAATCACATATACAAAATAAAAAAATAGCAAAATTTTCAAAATTATTTACCTAACCAAATAGTTGTTTATCTACAAAATATTCGCTCTAGCTAATTCTAAATCGGTAATAAAATTAATTTGTATAAACAGCCATTCAAGTATGCACGGTTTTAAAATTTCAAAATTTTTAAGTAAATATTTTTTTTTTGAAACCTTTTGAATATTGAAATAAAATTTGCCATAATTATGGGGATTTTCTATAATTCAAGTATGCACTTAAAGTTCTAACTTAAATTTTAAAAATCTTTTCATATGAATCATTACATATCTGTAGAAACTAACTAAATATTACATAATTTTTCTATGTGATTATTTTTCAAACTTAAAATATTTTGACAGCGTTTAACAAAAATCTTTAAGAATCCATTAGAACTTTAAGATGCTATGATTTTCGGAAGTACTTCTTTTGCAGTTTTCATTCATCGAACATGTTTTATATTAAGGTCTAAGTTAGAACAGAATTTTCTAAATTCACTATTTTTGTATATATTTTTTTGTACTTTGCCGTTTATATTAGGCAAGAAATTTACTATATTTCTTTCATTAGACAAATTTATTTAATAAAAAAATTATGAATTAGTAAATATGAAAAGTTAATAAATGAGTATGTAGAAAATATTTTGACCATATTGAATATAAAAATTAAATAATTAATTAATAGCATACATGAAAAAGACCTATGAATTTTATAGAAAAAAGGGAAATAACGATTTTTGAAAAAACATATTACTCGTATGTATTAATAATAATAATGAATTTTTAGAATATGAACATCGACCAGATTATGAAACTTAAATTTTTAGAACATTGTGTATTATAAAAATCCAAATTTTTTAATTTGTGTATAAACTATTGGACGATTTTAACTATTGGATGTTTAAACACATAGAAAAATTTTCTTGTTTTAAAAATATTTATTCATACAATTATTCCTTATATTTTTTCTTATATATTATATATAAAATATGCAAATATAATAAAATGGACATTAATTATAATGGAAATTAAATATACAATTAAATTGATTTTCGAATATTTAAAATGCCATTTAAATACCAGATTATTTTGCAAATAAATTCATAAAATATAATTTTTAAAATAAACAATACATATTAAAAAAAATTTTTTTAATTCTCTCTTTTACAATATTTAAGTTTTTCTTAAAATCTATAGTTAACGTTCATTATATGGAAGATCTTGGTTTAAAATATGACTTTTAAAGTTATTGTGTAATTTTATTACAATTTTCATATTTTGATTTTTTGTTTTTAAAGAGATCAAAAAAATATTTATGAATATATTTTAATTATTTCATATGATTTTAATGAATTTTTTTTTAGAATTTTACTTAAAATTTAAAAATTTGAATATACACTATGTACTTCAAATATAAACTATCAAATTTGATTTGAATTTAAATGGAAAATTGGTTTTATTTTTTGTCAATCTATTTTAGCAAAATCCTATACTAAAATATATTTTGCTGATGATATTGTCTTAAAACTATTAACATAATGAATTCAATGACATGTAATAAAAATAATTACAAAAATTTTATACAATAAAAAATATTTTTTTTTTAATTTTTTATTTCAGCTTTTTATAGATTCTTCGTTTTCTTCAATCATTGTTACGTCATCGCTGCTATCATCTTCAATTTTTTTCACATTCTTCTCAGAAAGTTTTGCAGATTTTTCTGTTAAACATTGTTGATCTCCAGTTTTCAAAGTTAATTTTTCAGATGTTGTAAGTTTTGAAGATTTTTGTTCTTTTAAAGCTTCTTTATATTTTTCTTTTTCATCTGTTTCAGATTGATGATGCTCTTTTGATTTTTGTTGTTGCTGCAGGTGCTGTTGTTTATGATTTTGATCAAGCATTTCCCTTTCATGGCATAATCGATGTGATTTACATTTATTATGATGATTTACAATTTCTAAACGGAAATTTGAATTGCCTTCAACAAATGATGTTCTTATGTCTGGTATATCATTTGACCATTTACGGCAATAAATACAATACATAGTATTAGCATTTTCATCAAATCTTAACCATTCAAATTGATCAAGCCAATTTATACGGAAACGGCCAGATTTTCTTGAAGTACTTTGACCAGAATTTCCTGCAATCTGATTATTACCACCTTGATTTGAAGTAGATTCTTTATATTGTCCAATAGTTGATGTATCATATGAAGATTGTGATCTATGTGGTGAATTTGATCTCGATATATATTTAGATGGATTATTACTGCCAGATGATGGTTGATTGAAAATTGAATGCATTTGTTTTTGATAATTAAAAGGTGGTTGAAAATGTTGATGATGTTCTGTATATGATTTTAATGGACCTGTCTGATTATTAGCAGGGTTACTGTTACTTCTATACGGATTCATTCCAGCACCTGATCTTACACTTTCATTATAAAATTCTGTACGAGATAACAGATTTGATGTATTCAATTGACGTGCTAAATGTTCAGAAACATTTCCTCCACTTGAAATGAAATAATTGTTGTCGGAACGACTTGTTATCGAAAGCTCTGGTGGTATCCAAGTTCTGGCTTGACGAGAACTTAATTGATGATAAAGTTGTTCACGTTCTTGTTGCTGTTGATGTTGATGATATTCTTGCCGTTGCATTTCTTGCAATTGTTTTTCGATGTGTTGTATTGAATAATAGGAACGTTGTTTGTTTGGTGATTCTTGTAACTGAAATTCACGCTGCAGACTAAGTTGTTGTGTTGAAAGTGGAGATAATAATGGAGGTGAATTTGGTGCAGAATAAATTTTAGGTTTTTGATGTCTATAAGCAAATGATTTTGAACTATCTCCTAAACTGGCCGTCATTGTTATTGCAGGTGTTAAATTCTTTTGCCGTGCACGTTCCGAATCCAAAAGTACGGTTTTCTGAATATTCGTCAAATTTAATTTAATTTTAAATTTTCGATCAATTTTTTTTGTTTTTAAATTCCCATAAAATAAAATAAAATATTTTTTTTTGGTTTTAGTTTAAAGAAAATAATTTTTTATTGTTTAATTCATATAGAAAGTGAAGGATATGACTTTATAATTTAAAATTATAATAAAAATAAACAATTTTTGTATGTATATATAAATAAGGATATATATACATACATACATATATATTATTCATTAATGCTTTCAATTAAATAAATTAGTTTTGTTTAGATTTTTTCTTTTTCTCGGATCGATGAATTTTATTATTATCATGGTGTATGTAGACTTTCCTTATTATACTAAATGTAAGTTCTCGTTCACTTTTCGCGAATACAATTCTAGTTTATAATTAAATTTTAGTTTAACTTAAAAATTTATAATTTTTGTTCTTCTTTATTTTGTATTCTTACATAATTTTTTAAATATATTCTTATTTTCTAATTTATTATAATTTATAGTTGCAAAAAAATATTTTAAAATATTTTCTATGATAAGAAAAAATAATTTATGATAAAAGTTTAAATTAAGCGAAATAATACAAATTTTCAAGAATTATAAAATTTGTAAGTTATTTTGAAGTGATAAGTAGATTTTTAATACAATATGAAGAATACGGGAAATAGTTCTTTAAAATATATTTTTGAATAACCAAATGTCATTTACTAAAATGTCAAGCATTTGTTTTTAATTATTAGTTTTAAACTAACAGTTAAATTACCTTACTATTAAATTAATTGAAGGTATAGTTTAATACTAACTGAGGTTGACATTTTATTAATTTAAAAAATTATATAAATTTTAATAGACAAATAAAATGAAAAATAATTCATTAAAATATTTTTTTATTATTACTTTAATATTAAATTTATAATTAAAAAAATAGGAAAATAAATATTGCAATAATTTCGAATGCTTAAAGAATTTCAAATTTTATAAAATAACTTGTAATCGATAATGTGAAATGCGCATTGAATTCTTTTGCAGTTAACAAAATCGTTGCAACTTTTAATGTTGTCGACAGATGTCTTTATTTATAATGTATTATCGTTGACATAAAAAATAAATGCCACGTAATAAATGCTTGTCATATTACTAAAAATTTTTGGAATTTTTCTAACAAAAATATTTTAACTGCACACTTTAATTTTGTACTAAATGGAAAATTTTAAGGTGGATAAATAATTTTATTTAATGAAATTTAGCTCTAAAAATATTCAAATCAAAAATAATTTGTTGTTTTTCAACCGGTTGCATTCAAAAGTTGTATTGATATGCAAAAATTTTTTTAGAATAAATTGTTGATTGCTGGTTGTTGACTGTCAGATGTAATTGTTGTCGATCGGCATTTGACATTATGGATTACACCTATATATATATAAATTCATTTGTATTAGAATAAATTACATTTTCATTTCTAAAAATCATTATTGAGTACAACAAAATAGTTTTTCATATAAAAATATTATTTTAATTCTATATTTAACATTATATTGAATTCAAAATTATAATTTTTGAGAGGAAAATATAATTTAAATCAAATATAACAGTGAAAATTAGGAGCGTCTAAAATTTTAATGTACAAAACGTGTAGTAAAAGGAGCTAGCAATTTTATATTTCAAATATCTTACATATATTTTTTAAATTAATTTTATTTACATTTAATTAAGATTCAATCAATTATCCTTCTTCTTTCTATTATGACTGAAACAAATAAAATTCATTTTCTTTTACTCTTCCTTATAATCTTATAAATATTTCTCAATTTTAAATAATTTTTCGTTATTAAAATTTGTTTTAAATTCAATGGGCTAAATGACCATTTTGTTTTATTAAACTTTTTGTAATGCCATTCTTTTTTTGTATTTCTTAATTGTTATACTAGATTAATTTATAAGCATAAAAAAAAATTATAATTAGGAATTTAAAAATTTCGAAAACCAAATAGTTAAAAGAATACAAAATTAGATTAAATTATTTGTATAAAAAAAATATATAAATTAATTATATTAAATGGATTAAGCAATAATTTAAATTAATATTAAAAAAAAAAATAAATTTTTGTTTTTAAACTGGATGAAAATTTTGATACTTAAATTTTTTTTTTGTATTATGTATAAATGTGTGTATGTATAAGTAAATGTTTATATATATATATTTATATAACAAAGAAAATTAAAATTGGAACCATCGAACCGGTCCAAAGAAAAAACCTTAACAATTTAATAAAAATAAAGGATTTTTTACAAAAAAAAAATAAAAAAAAAATATAAAGGGTAATTGTTAAAAAATTTATGAATAAAAATATTAAAAAAAAAAATTAAAAATTAAAAAAAAAATAAAAAATTTTTAATTTTTTTTTTTCGTTCTTACTAATTTGTTAATATTGGAAAGTAGTAATTTTTAGTAATTAATAATTAAAAAATTTTTAACTTACCGCTAATAATTCTGGCGGTAGAGATGTATGATGTTGTTGGGCTTCTAGTAATTCTTGTTTAATACTAAGCGACTGACTGAGGCTACCACCACTAGTACTAAGATTTCTTTCAACGCCTTGATTTGAAAGTGGTGAATCACGTCGACCAATTATATCATCACCAGCTTCGGATTTTGGCACCGGACTTGATTTAAAATTGCATGAAGATGCCTAGAATATTTTTTTAATAATGTTAATAAATTTTCAATCAAAATATATTTATATATATATAAATTTATGTTTTCAATAAACTATTTCTTTATTTTTATATTATACATTGGTAAAATAACATGGGATCTGTCAAATTACTGTTAAATAGTATTAAGTATATTACTGAGTATACACTTGCTATGAGCTATTGAGTTCATTTGAGTTTATCAATATCACATCTAAGTTATATTAAAGATTTTATTCAAATTGGTTTTCGTATACATGTACTGTCTTATAGAATTTAAAAAATTTTAAAATTATAATTGGTAATTGACAAATTAGAAAATTTTTTTTAAAAAATATAATTTTTATAGTGAATTTAGTAAATCCAAGAACTATGTATGAATTTTAGTTATTACTACTTTATTAAAAAGTCTAAAATTATAGATAAAGGATGAAAAATTAAGTATGTAATATGATTAAGAAAAGAAAATATAGGGTTTGACTACATAATAACAAACAATTATCGATATGAAGTACTTTAATAATTAAGGACGACTATCGAGATAACATTGTATTAAAAATTAAATTCTATTTTTCAAAAAAAAAAAAAATCTGTAATGAAAATATCAATTGTCTTTTAATAAAATTAATTTTATATTTATGATTTTAGGAGTAAATTATTTATTAACCACATAAGTTTATTATTTATGAATATTTCTAAGCGAATAAAATTTGTGTAATAGAAAATGAATTTAAATTAATTCTAAAAAAATATTAAAATTTATTGAAATATTAAACAAAATTATTGAACTTTATTACGGGAAAGGTATAGAAAATAATGACTAAAATAACAATAAAATTTATTAATGTAACTAAGTAATATATTTACATATTATGTAGATGAATTAAAACAGAATATTACATAAGTTAAATTTAATATAATCGTAAGCTAAAATTACATACATGTATGCTATAATTTATTATTTTAAATATACTGTATGTATATATATATGTATATATAGGATGCAAACATGTAAACCAGTAGTTATTTTTCTATTATATACGAAAAACCAATAAAACCAAATTTTGTTTTTTTTTTATATGTTCATTGATATGTTTATGTACTGAAAATTTTTCGGGGGACAAGGCAACAAAGAATATAGAATCATGAATTCCATAGAGTAAATTTTTTAATCAATTTATGAGTATTATGAGAAAAATGCTTGACCATTTTTGTGTCTATTTTAAATATAAATTTTAATAGTCTATTGAGAGTGTTATAATAATCCCTTTTTTTTTGCTTTTTTTCTTCATTTATTTGATATTATATCTTTTTGAAGATAGAATGAGCATGAAACAAAAAGTATATAAAAAAAAAATTGTGAAAAAAAGGTATTTATGGGGAGGACAAAACAATAATTTCATGAATTGTAAAATATCGATTAAGTCAACTGTTGCATAATTATGAAGCTGCTTTTGTTAAATCTACATTAAGTTATGATATATTTAAAAATGTCGAATTTATTAATACATAAATAATAGGTGTAGTTATCCCGTTTTTTTAACCGATTTAATATGGTAATAAATAGACGGAAGTTAATGTTACAATGTTCCTGTTTTTTCTAGTTTTTGAGAACTTATTAGGTACTTTAGTAATTAATTTTGTAAAATAATAGGATTTTTATTCATTTTGAAAAATCTATTGCAAAATATTGGTAATTAAAATTATTGATGAAAATCATCATTTGTTAAATAAAATTATAATATTTTTGAAATGTAATTGATAATATTGTTGTAGTCATATATATATATATAGAATACTATGAATTATTGCAAATTATAGAAAGGAGAATTACATAATTTCTAAAATTGATTTGTCCATGTATACGCATATGTATAATTTTTAATCACCTGAGAATCCTGAGTGTAATGTCTGTCCTGTACATTTGTGTTATGCGTCGAGGTCGAAGAATTATCACAGTTGGATGAGTCCTTACGTCTTTTCTTATTACTACTAATGCAATGATCCACTGGAGTTGTGGACATTTCTCTATCACGATCTCTATCTTTAGTATAATCTTGTGTTTGCATTAAATCATCACGACTTTCAGCCCGATCACAATGTTCACGTTCAATGCTTCGATTGCCTCTATCATGGCTGGTAATACGTTCATTGCTGCTGCTACCAAGTAAACCAACACTTGGTGAACGATCACTGCTACCGCTACTACCAACTCCACCAACACCACCAACAACATTACCTAAACCTAAACCGCTTTTAATTGCTTCAGCAGCTGCAGCAACAATACTCCCACTTAAACTGTTACCACGATAATGTTCCATAAGACTAGCAGCATTTGCATTTGGACCACCTCCAATACATTGACCACTGCCACTATCACGATTAATGTTACTATTACCACCACTATTATTACTTGTGCTACCACTAATACCGCTAGCACTACTACATCTTTCACGTTCTCTTTCACGTTCACGTTCTCTTTCACGTTCTCTTTCTAAACGTTCACGTTCTCTATCTAAACGGCTTTCACGTTCAAAATTTGTTCTACTAGTTGGTGATGATGTCGCTGATTCTTGACTTTTATCTGATTCTGTTCTATAATTAAAATTATTATTTTCTGTTAAGCCTCGAACCTAAAATTAATTAAAATCAAAATTAATCATTTTTTATTATTTTTAATAATAAAATATTTTAAATTACTTGTAAGCTCTCAGCTGTTTTCAAGAACATGGGTAATGAACTCTGTCCAACATTTACTTCACCTTTATACATAAAATCAAGTAATGAACGCATTTCTGAGTATCTAACATCTTTTAAATAAATAATAGGATGGGGGTGGTTATTTTGTAGGAAAATTGTTTCAAAATAAGGGCTGCACGCTGATAGAATTGTTTGATGTGCCTGAAAATTTAAAAATAAAGTTAATATTTTTAATATTTTTAATTTCTTATTTTATAACTATATATTTTAAATTGTGAATTATAACACAATTTAATTTGTTAATGGAAAGTCAGTTGAAATTTATTCACACATTTTTTGAAAATTATTAACTACAACCAGAGCACTTTTCCCTACATCTGATATAAAAGTGTATGAGTGTTGAATTTCCATGGAAATTTTATTACATTTAAAAATTTCAAAAATTTATGAAATATATTTTTTTTTGGATTTTATTTCATTGCTAAAAACAAGCATTCTTTGTCCGTAACTTAAAATGTGGATTGAATTGACTGTCATAAATGCTTGTAAATAATTTAATATTTGTGACATACATGTCAAAAACAAATCATAACAGTAACAAAAGGGTGAAGATTTTTTGTATTTTTTTATTCGCAAATAAATTTTTTACATCACTATAAAAAAAAATTTATATGTATATTTTTTGACAAATTTACTCACGTAATTCATTGTGAATTTCCAAGAATGAAAATATATTAAAATATAATTCCGTTATTAAATTTTATTATTTTTATATAAAATGAATAGTTTTTTATAAAACGTTTTGATTCTCAATAAAATGACTATTGCAGATAGGTGAATCAATAGGTGAAAATTCAATAAATTTCACAAGAATTTAATATAATAATTTTGTTTTTGAGTATTGAAGTCACTAATTTGTAGATTGTAGATTACTGAAGTGAGATATCGCCGAGAAACCTTCTCCCATCTAACCAACGTAACCAGCCTTTTTACAAACTTATACAAAGTCGGCCTTAAGTAAATACCAGGCAATAGCCCCTAGGGAGTTAAACGTGAAGTTCTCAACACTGAGAAAGCTCTGTCCGAACTATCTGCGCCTCCTGACTGCAAGAAAATCACACAGAATATGTGTCATTTTTGATATAGAACATTTTTGATATTCCATGAAAATAGTTTCTCTTCGTTTTTTTTTGAAAAAAAAAATTTTTTGCTACTCGAACAACAAAAAAAATTACAAAAAATGAATGAAAAAATAATTTTCTCCTTGTTTGAGGCGATTCCTGTACAGATAAACGTTGTGTGTAGTAACGCAAGTTGTCAAAAATTGAAATGTTATTATGTATGTACGTATAGTATACGAAAAAAATAAAAGTAAATTGAAAAAAGCAAAAAATGTGGGAAAAGTTCTAGCTAACAAAAGAAAGTAGAAAACGTAGAAAATTTTATTATTTTTATTATAAAAATTCTTTTTCTCTTTAACAAATGTAATCAAATCAAAGGACACTTGCATACAATTTTATAGTTTTAGGGGAAAAAATGAGACTAAAACAAAAATCTTTTCTAAAAGGAATTAATTTACGAAATATCATGGAACACAAATCTTAAGACTTACACTAAGAAAATTCAGAGAGTAATTATAATATCAAATTATGTGAGTTGCATATTTTCAGAATTAGGAAAATTTTGAAAATTTTTCTCTTCCGGAATATTTTAGTTTATTTTAAAACCTCGTCGTCGTGATTTAAACGAAGATATTATGAATTAGCAAAAGAAAAATATTTTCATATACTTCAAACCGGGCTCCAATTTACCTAACTTAACAATTTAAAAATATAATCGAAACAAAATGTTTTTTGATTGAAGAAAACATTTGAAAATAACGAGCATCAAATTACATAAATTAAACGGACTATTGTTAAATTGGTTTCATTCGATGTCAAAAATCAAAAAAGAGTTTCACTAATTTACCTTCACTGTTTCACCATCACAAGCTAATGTAACGTCACACAGAGCTTCTCTTTGCAATAGTGAAGTTAGCACACCTGTTAAATTTGTCGGATGGTTATTCCAGCGGAGGCAAAACTGCTGGTCCATAGCTCCTTGGTCACTGTTGTACCTAAAATTATACAAAAGTAAAAGTAGTTTTTAAAGATTGAGTATAACCAAAATTTTTATATTTTTAAATTTTATAAGAAATATTTTAAATTTATTGCATTTGATTGCTTAATTACGAATTGATAACCAAGTATCAAAGTATTTTGTCAACTTATTTGAACAGATTAATTTTGCAAGGAAGCGTGTAATAAAATTTTTATATTTTATTAACATGGCGAAACTTAAAAATTTCATTCAACAAAAATCAAAGAACAATCAATTTTAGGGCTGAGATTGCAATGGTTTCAGTGACATTTCTATGCGCTTTAGAATAACGTCACCTCTTCATCAAATTCACTCTTTCAAAAATTTTATCTAATATTATCTTCTTATCTCTGTGATTGATATTATGGCAATAATTATGAATTTTATGAAAAGTTCTCTAATATCGTAAAAATATTAATAAATTTTGGAAATATCGTAAAATATCGTAAATTACCGAAAATTCTCTAAAATCATAAAATTAGCAACGTTCTGTTGTACATAATATGCAGATGTGTGTGCAAGATAAAATTAAAGAAATCTTAACAAAAATGTTTTCCTTTTTTCATTTTTAAGTAAATTTTTTAAAGAAATCTATCATATTTACTTTATTATATAACAAAATATAAACGTCGATTTGCAAGACTTAATTTTGTTTTCAAACTTACTTGTTTTTTCAAGTATTTCCAAAAAAAAATTCATTTCTGGTTTTCAATTCAAACAATATCAATGTACTTATTTTTATAAGTACATCATTTATAACATTAATATAAATCATTTTTTTTTTTTCAATTTAATAATTTCCATTATAACCAGTTCAATATTGATAAGAGAACAAGACCAGAAAGAAAAAGTGATCTCTATATTATCAATTGAATTTAAAATATAACATTTTTACTATGATAACAACACCTACATTTATTAAAATAATCTTATCAGCTCTAATAATACGATATCAGGAAAAAAAATATATGAATTACTTATTTATAATATGTAGCAAAATTATTATACACATTTATGTGGATTTTGTACCTACACATATTAAGAATAATTGTATACAAATATTATGTAATAAAATTTCAATTCGCATATACACAATATCATTTAGCCATCTCATATACTTATACATATAATATTTAATTAGAGTATCTTGTTTCCAGTTGAAAGTGAAATTTGTATTTGTATGTATTTGTATTATAATTTTATATATTTATATTTGTTTAAGTATATGTTATATTTTTTATTTGCTTAAAATTCACAATATTACTGATAAGAGCATGTGAGTTAAGAGAAAAACAAAAAAAAAAAAAATATAAAAACTTGAAGCTTTTTACAATAAAAAAAGTTTTTGTAATTTCTATTTTTATAACACATTTACTTATATACATACATATATAAAGAATATCGCGAATTTACTTGCGGTTTCATTAAAAAAAAAAACATTCACAAAAATTCATAATCATAAAAGTTTTATAACAAGTACCTAAATAAAGTAACGAATATGTACATCTCGCTTAGAGAAAGAATATCAGAATATTAGAAATGCTAGTTGAGTTGAAAACAAAATAATTACATAAAACATGTGACTGTAAAATATTTGACAAGTGATCAGGCAATTATTTTAACATGAGCAATAAATAAAATTACTCAAAAAAACCTAAGTAATTTCAAGTTACTTAATTTTTAATCATTAATGCTACGATTCTTGAATGAATCGAATTCAAACATGCAATATAATATTCGAATACATTTCATATCCTACTAGTACCTACTTGACAATCATTGTATAAAAACGAATTTTGATCTGGCAACTATGCATTCAAAGAAATCTCAAATAAAATTAAAGATGAACTGTTAATATTCGCAATCAATTCACAATTGAAGAAAATCCTTTATGTTAAATATAGTTGACAATCAGTGGAAATGATGTTACTTTTCGATCCTCCTTCATCACTTACATATTATTTGAAATAATCGACTGCTATTTCTTTTCAAAGAGACTGTACATGTATGTACGCCAGCGCTGTCTATGATTTTTTGCAAAAACTCGGAAAATCAAATCTAAAAATGAGTCTAAATATCTAAGCCGAAACGGATACTTCGCAAAAAACTGGATGACTATATGTACGAAAATATTAATACAACCTAAAATATATTGTTTACTTAATCATCCTGCATTGCGAAGCACATTTTGAACTTGAAGTAAGATCATTGAAATAAAAATAAAAGTAAAAAGTAGGTTGATAAAATAATTCGATATTTTTTGTTGATAATAATTTGAATTTCAATACAATATTACTGACATTTTATTATTTTATTATATTTTGGTGGGGTTTTGGTTTTTGTTTTTTATTAGTACATACATATGTGAATATATGCATGATAAAAAGAAAAGTATAACAGAGGGGGGCTTGGTTATCAATTGGTAAAAGTTTGATAGTGATGTTCGATACTCAATATTAGTACAATTGCTAAAATTGTTTGATTTAGATATTTTGTAACTTTATATTAATATATTAAAGAAATATAATAAAATAATTACCAATTGTTGTTTCAATCAAATGAAATTTGAAATCAAAATAATATTAGGATCTATTTAAAATTAATTACACAATTACATTTATTATAATCGCCTCTCTAATACAAACACTTGAACTATAGTCAACAAGAAATGTATGTATACACATTCATATGTACCAACATTTAAACACTACAATATTAATTATGTGTGTTTATACGTACACACATAATTTGTAATTTTGTGTATTTTTTTTTGTAGTACTTATTTGTAAATTTTTGGGTGGTCTGATATAAAATTTTTAAATAATATTTAAGTATATGTACTTGCTAAAATAAATCTTACTATATATATAAAAAGATTAGTTTTTAACTGTAAAATTTATAAAAATTCAAAATAAAATTAAAAAAATTTTTTTTGATTACAAAACTTTTTTTTTTCTTGATAAGATAAATAACAATTTTTTTGCATTATAAAATTATATTTTTACTAGTTTTATATACTTATATAAGTAATAACCATTGTTTGAATATAGTATCTACCTACTTATTGTTGTTAGTAATAAAAATTACATTGCCTAGCTATATACAATCAAAACAATGTTGTCATGCAAGAAATTTTTTAATTTTGAACTATTTTTGAATGAGTTTTTTTTTGGACTCTCAAAAATTATGAAAAAAAGAAAATTTTTTTCAAAAAACTACTTGAAAATGAATCAATATACTGGCGTGTAATAATCCTTAAAAAGTACGTAGTTGATTTCAATTGAAGTTGTTAAAAGGTAACGATTCTTTGATTCTTAATCAATAACTATAATTTTCTATAAAATCAATCTAAAATTCAAAAATAAATACAAGAACAATTGAAAAATCCTTCGTTATAATAAAATTCCACTAAAAAATTTAAGAGATTTTTTGTAAAATATTCAAGTATTATTTTTAAATTCCAACATTTTTGATTGTGGAGTCACAATATTTGCATGACACGAGATAAATAGATGTCTGACAATACTGAAAATTACTATTTGTGTGCATGTGTATCATTTTTAACTAAAATAAATCAAATTCTCTGCAACAACAATAGTTAAGAATAATTAAATTTGAGGGAACATTTACTTAAATTTTATTTTGCCTTAAAAATATTTTTCTTAAAATAAATTTAAATACTTGTCACAACACCTTTTTACAAAATATCAACTTTTCGTCATTTAGCAATTTTGAATTAAAACTCAGTCATTTGACAGTTTCTTAACCAATTGTGCTAAATTACTTCTGCTGATCAAATAATAGTATTTATGTGTAATAGTACTAAAACAATTTGGACATATTTTATCCTGTCATTTTTACAGCAAAACTTTTCAACTGATTTTATTTTAAGTATAAGCACACTTGCAAAAATATGTGACTTAACAACGTAATTCTAATAAAGAAGCTTTAAAATTTTATAAATCTACATTATATAAGTATAGAAATCAAATTTAAAATCATATTTGTATGTAAGTAATAAAAAATATTATTATAATTATTACAAAAACATTGTAATATACAATAATCATTTTGAAGACAATAATTCGCAAATATTTATTTTAAAAATAAAACTGCTGTGCATGTAATAATAATAATTATTTAAAATGTTTATTGATTACACGTTCCTAAATAATAAATATAAAAAACACAGGAAATATTAGTACCTATACTACACTTGTATACATACAATGTCAAACTTACGTATGTGTACATGCAGTCTTAATTCAATAAACATTCATACAAAGTATTACTATGTAAAAGCTTAATACAGTTTATTTGCACTTAAATAACGTAATTTTAATTACAATATTTACATTGTAATTGTAAGTGTCGTTCATTTTATACTTATTACTATTTAATTATTATTAATGTAATAAAAGGTTAAAGTTATAGAATGATTTAAAGGTTATAAGTTATATTTAAAATGATTATTACTTTTTTACATTTTCAAATACAAAAATACTTAAATATAAATTATTGTAATCCCTTTTTTAGATGATCTAAAATTTGTATGGAACAATTCGATTTTGCAAAGTTTTTAAGATTAGTTTTGGATTCAACAAAATTTACAATAACTAAAGTTGGGTAGGTGCAGCTCGATCTTCCAGAATAAAAATGGCATTTGAAAAAAGTTTGAAATTGCATATAAGCTAATTATATAAGAATAATCTGGAAATTTCACGAAAAATTGATGGTGAATTTTTAAATTGAAAGTAAATCTGTCATGTAAAATATAAAATAAAAACAAAATTCATTGCAAGAGAGAATAGTTCAAACTCACATACATATTTCTACATGATCAGGAGTCCAAGTTAATATTTTTTTTTCTTGGTAAAAATAAAGCAATCCCAATTAAATACAATTGATGTGAATTCATTCCTCGTGTTAAAAGTAAGTGTTATGACATCAAGTAATCCGAACAAATTACGTAG